CGAAGACTCAGGGCGGCTTACAACGCGTTAAGCAATAGCCTTCATACTTTTGTATATTTTTACAAAGTCAGCTTATTGCCCCCACAAACTGGGTCCTCAATTTACCTACCTTAGAAAGGATGGAAGGCTGAGTCAACCTTGAGCCTGGTGAGATTCGAACTGATGTAATTGCAGACAGTTGTAATTAAAATCATAATGGTGTAATTAAAATCATAAAAATGTGTAGGTATCAGTATCCACTCATTGGAACCTCTGATAAACATACAGAGTTGTGAAGTTGGATCTAGAGTGAACCATTTCAAGGTAGGATAGAAAAGGGTAGAAAATAGATGTAGTAAGCTTAATCTTCTCTGAATTGCTAGCTTCCAGATGTTTAGGATCTTACCTGCCATCTCCGAACTCTGGGCTGTCAAAGTGTGCCATTCAAGAAAACCGGATAGCCATTTGTTTGGGGGTTGGACTAGAAGAAGATCTCCAAGCTCCCTTCCAACTCTTATTCTTCTATGTTCAGCACATCTGAAAGGAACCAGAAGTCAGGAATGGTGTCTCTGTAACAGTGATGGCTAAACTTTTTGTCGTAGAGTGCCAAAAGTGCATCCATACCTGCATCCATAATGCAATCTGTGCGTGACCCCCCCCATGCATTCGTGCATGCCCCCACATGCCCTCCCCACCCCGCTTCCCCACGCATGCACGCATGACCCACCCCACTCCGTTTTGGGCCTAGCAGGCCTCCCTGCAGCCCCTTGGAACCCAAAACAGGCCGCGGGGTGACCGCCCCCCCTGTGGCCCACTTTTGGTCCCAGGAGGCTGTGGGCCATGGGGGGCACACAGCATCTCCATGTGCACCCCCACACTCCCTACACATGCGTGCGTGACCACCTGGCAAGCCCATGCATCTCCCGCATGTGTCCCACCCCCCCCACACATGCGTGGCATAGACCCAAAAATCATCTGCCCCGCAGAAGGTGCACGCACATGCAGGGTGGAGCTGAGCTGGGCGATGGCTCGCGTGCCCGCAGAGAGGGCTCTGCGCGCCACTTGTGGCATGCGTGCCATAGGTTCGCCATCACAGCTCTGTAATGTTCTTAAAATATTTTCAAAACTGGATATAAAGTGAGGAAGGTTCCAATTTCCATTATGGATTTTTCTCTGGGGGGAGAAAGGTCGTGTCCTGACCAGTATCCCATCACACAAATGATACACTGAAATGGCTGAAACTAAGCTTGGGAAATACCTATTGAAAGACTACCTAACCCTTGCATTAAAGTCACCAAGTCAGTCTGTGTGAACGCATAACATTTGAGGAGCATTTAAGGTAAAGTCTTTCGAAACAGAAGCTATCTGCGAAAACAGCTCCATGGAGTACTTGGTTTATTATTATTATTATTCTCTCTGAAGAACCAACGCGCTCCCGCTGTAGAGTACATTCCTATTAGGGATTACTACTGCATACGTGGCACTCGGTCCATGCATCATTAGAAAACAACAATGGCCTAGATAAGGAAGGACAGAATGCCCTGGATCATGCTTGTCGCCAAAGTAATAATTATAATTTATTTATTTATTTTTTTGGCTAGCCTTTTTGTTAGGTTGTTTTCGGTAGGTTTTTCACTAGTGGAATTCTTTTGTTCAAACCGTATTTTTTTTTAAAAAAAGGTGCCGGAGTAAAAGAAAAGAAGGAGAAGCTAACTTCGTTGGAGAGTTCTGTCTGAGGAAATTGTTTGCAGTGGTGGATAAAGGAGCTGTTTTGTAAGCCAGGAGGCCAAAAAAAAAAAGAACATTTGATGCAGAGGCGGGTTTCAGCAGGTTCTGACCAGTTCTGGAGAACCGGTAGTGGAAATTTTGAGTAGTTCGGAGAACCGGTAGTAAAAATTCTGACTGGCCCCGCCCCCATCTATTCTCTGCCTCCCAAGTCCCAGCTGATTGGGAGGAAATGGAAGAGTACACCTTCCCTCTGCCACACCCAAGCCACGCCCACCAAGCCATGTCACGACCCACCAAGCCACACCCACAGAACCGGTAGTAAAAAATTTTGAAACGCACCACTGGTACGGCTAAGTGGCTAGGCTAACAAGAGGCCTCTGGGCCTCTTCTTCAGCTCTTATTCTTAACACTGGTACACCACAGGGTTGTATGTTGTCCCTTACTCTATACCCTTTATGTGCATGACGTTCTCACCTAGGCTTCCCCAGCAGCATGAAGCCGATTCCTCGTCGCGATAAATCCTTTATTTAATTTACAGTGAATTCCTCTCCAGCCAAGTCTTTCCTCTCCCACAGTCTTTCAAGATAGTTCACAATTACCAACCTTTATCAGGCTTGGAGAGCTGTAACAGACAATGCTTGGCAAGAATGCAGGAACAGATCTTCACCCAAATGAACTAATTGTCTCCTGCAAACTCCCCTCCCCTTCGCTCCTCTTTATTCCCTCTGGGAGGGGCCATTCATTGTCAATCTGTGGCTTTACTCCTGAGTCGACCCTTGTTCCTTAGCTGTTTCCTTCTCCTGGCAGCTCTGTGCATGTGCACACTGGGAACAGGATCCAGCTGTTCTTCTGCCCCACTGATGTCCGACTCCGAAGACAGTTGACAACTGTCAGACGGCCCTGGCCCCCTCTCTGCCTCCGACGCAGAGCACTCGTCAGAACCTTCCCCGGACTCCAGGACTGGCCCATGTTCCTCCCCAACCTCCTCACTGTTCGAATCTGCTGCCAGATCTGCTGGCCGATGGCAGGCCACAACACATAACTGCATTCCCACTCTCATGCACATTCCCACAGATGATACAACAGCGGTGGGACTCATTTCCGGGGGTGATGAGTCTGCTTATCGAGATGAGGTGGACCGGTTGCTTTCATGCTGTGGAGACAATAACGTGGTCCTTAACACCAATAAGATCAAGGAGCTTATAGTGGACTGTAGAAGGAATAGATCAGGCATCCAGCCCTTGCATATCGATGGAGAAAGAGTGGAGCAAGTGGCCAGTTTTAAGTTTCTGGGTGTTATCATAAAAGAGGACTTGACCTGGGGCGCTCACATTGCAGCATTGGTCAAAAGGGCCCAGCAGAGATTATATTACTTGAGGCTTCTCAGGAAACAACAACTGAATGGAAAACTTCCGGTGACCTTCTACCGCTGCACCATAGAGAGTATTTTAACTTACTGCACCTGTGTATGGTTTGCCAATTGCACAGTGGCAGTTAGGACAGCGCTCCAGAGGGTCAACATCGTTGCCCAGAAGATCATTGGTTGCCCATCTTTGGAAGAGCTTTATAGCTCCCGCTGCCTTAAGAAAGTTCAAAACTTTCTTAAAGATCCATCTCATCCTGGGCACCCTTTTTTTTTTAAACTATTACCATCTGGCAGACGGTACAGGATAATAAAAACAAGGACAAATAGGCTGAAAAACAGCTTCTATCCCAGAGCAGTAACTATATTGAATTCTACTGTATAGTGCAATATTAATGCAATATCAGGGGTTCAATTGTATAGAATGTGAAGGATGTGTGTTTGTGTTTTATTTTTATAGTTACAATGTACACTGAAGATGTCATTTAATTTTGTTGTACGAGGTACAATGACAAATGAGCCTTGGTAGTACAGTGGTTTAATGCACCCTGTTATTAACACAGCTGCCTGCAATTTCTGCAAGTTCGAATCTTACCAGGCTCAAGGTTGACTCAGCCTTCCATCCTTTCTAAGGTAGGTTAAATGAGGACCCAGTTTGTGGGGGCAATAAGCTGACTTTGTATAAAATATACAAAAGTATGAAGGCTATTGCTTAACGCATTGTAAGCCGCCCTGAGTCTCCGGAGAAGGGCGGCATATAAATCAAATTAAAAAAAAACAATAAAAATAAAGTTAGCCAGTGACCTGGCTAACAAGGTCATTGCTACAGGCTAGAGGAAGCTCTGATCCCTTCTTTACACTCTTCCTTACAGGTATGTCTTGTCCCTAAGACTTTCAGGAAGAAAACAAAGCTTGTTTAGTACACACTCAAACACTAAATGCAGTCCTTGAGGGAGGAGGTCCCCTGATCACAAGGCCTGGAGATCCACCTAACAATTGAAGCAACTTATTGTCTCAACAGCGTTGACTTTCACTATTGAGGATCTCTAGAGATGATTTTGGATCAGAAAACAGCTACTTAGTTCATTGGACAGCAGTTCCACACTTTTTGGGGTTTAGGTATGTGCTAAATCTGCCAAAGTTTCGTATTTGTGTAGACTTTTAACATGTGGGTCATGATAAGTTAATAATAATAATAAATATTTTATTTTATTTATTTATTTATTCAATTTATATGCCGCCCCTCTCCGAAGACCCAGGGCGGCTATAAAAAGCTTAAAAGATCGTCTTGGGAAAAAAAAAAACCTCCAAATCGCTGTGACGTAGCCAAAATGGGGATGCCCGCAAGAGGCAGCATTCTCTGGGCTGGAGTTATCAAAGGACAGAACTTAATTAAACTTTCATTAAATTTTGCTTCAAGAGTCTTCACTCATTTCCTGGAATGTATTTGCCACTGTCAAATTAAGTTAAACGTATTTCCTTTAGGGCAATGTAACTTTAGGATGAAAATGATGCGAGCTGCTGTGAAAACCACATCCCTAAGAAATTAGCAAGTATTGCTGCGTTTGTTAGGAGGCGGCCTAACCAAGACTTCAGGCTCTAAATGCCAAACACGTTGATATGGTGCTCTTTGAAAATGTCAGCTTTTTATCGGCAGAAGAACCTGCTCCCACACACAGCGCAACATCTGTTGTCAAATGCTTGAAATGTTCACCAAGGATGCCTGAAGGCAAATGGGAATCAGGTTTTCTAAGAGCAAGGTGGAGAGAGCCTTCGGAACAAAATTAAAAGCGAAGAAAAGAAAGGAACGAGGAAGCTGAGTGTCTGCAAAAACTAGAAAAGTCTAGGGCGACAGTCTCTAGGAGAGATCCACCAACTCTCCTGGGTAGCACAGGATCTCTTGCATTTTAATGGAATTTCAGCAAACCTATTCAAGTTCCTTTAACGTGTCTTTTTATTTTCCCCATCTTCCAACAGCTGGGAACAATTTCAGCGAGGTACCGTCGCGTAACATTTCATAAGCCAGATGCGGGTTCCTAGGATGATGGAAGTTTGTATATTTCATAAGACAATCTCATCGATGCTGTTTTCAACTATGGACACATTTTTTTTTTCAAGTAAAAAAAAAAAAGGCTCTGTTATCCAGAAATAAGAAAGTTAACAGCGTACTTGTTATCGTTCCACTGCTACTCTTGTTTTTCCCAATCCACCACCCCACCCTCCCAAATTATCACGAACATTTGAAATGACGCTCAGACCATAGAATGCCACATAGGTGCACGCTCACGCACATATACACCCATACATAAGACCAGCTGCTGCTCACTCACATACACACACACACACACAAAGGAAGTCCAGGGAAGCCGATTGTGCAATGCGTTCTTCCGATTTCCAACAGCAGGGAAGCACCACGTCCTGCCAGATTTTCTTTAGCACACCGTTTTGCAAGGATGGGAATTTTCTATCTTAACAGACGGGACGGCCATCTTTTTTTGAGACTTGAGCTTTCACTATCCATGGTCCTGATTAGGGATTTAGAACAGGGGTTCATCCTTGGCGACTTTTAAAGCTTGCGGACATCAACATCCAGAATTCCCCAGCCAACATGATCTTAAAAGTTCACAGGTCTTAAGAGTTGCCAAGGTTGGACACCCGTGATTTAAAAATGAGCGGTCATGTTTCAATCGAGCAAGAATTAGGAACTGGTAATGCATATTTCCCCCTCCAATTCTTTTTACTTCTCTGCCATGTTTTTTAAGACTGGGGTGGCAAGGGCTGCTTTATTACTGATCCATCTATTCTTGATATAAGCTATTTTTTTTGGTGGGGGTGGGGAAGAAAGGAAAGAGTCAAAATGGCTTAAACAAATAATGGAGAGTGAAATGCTGAAGTCTCTTTAGCTGTTCAAATCGGGGCAGGAGAGGCTGAGGTGGCTTTTCCCCCGTGCTTTGCGTGGCTCGAGAACATGGCACGGAACAGCGAACTGGTAGCCCACAAGAGTCAGCTAAGCAAGCCTGCATTCAGACCAAGGAAAACCCTCACAGCAGACTTACAGCAAAAGGAGAGGACAAACCCATCAACATTTACTGAACATAAAGAGTTGCTTGCGACTTTCCCATTTAACGTACTGGCACAAAGTCTTCACTGCATTCTCCTGCTTTTCTGTCTGTCCCCTGTCCTAAGTCAAAGTGCATTTGCTTTCAAAGTAAGAGTTTTAAAATAATTTTGGCTGAGAGCCCCCTTCCCAGCCTTGTCAAGCCAAGTTTGACCTAGCTTTGCCCCGCAGTCCTCCAGAGAGGGAAATCCCACCAGGGGCTCAGGCAACGCTCTCCGAAGGCGAGAGAGAGAGGAACCCTGAGAGGAGGAGGAGGAGGAAGGGTCTGAGATTCACAGTCAGCAGCTTATAAGCCTCCGGGGATCTTCTGTGACGGGAGGCCTTCTTCGATCCAGAGGGGAGGAGAGGAGCCGTTGTGCAGAGTTCGCCGGTGGATCCTCCGTAGGCGCAGCAGGTAGAGGAGGATGGAAAGCAGCACAACGAAGAAGCAGGCAAAGAATAAGTAATGGTTGTAAACGAAGGCGAAGCTGCGCCAGTGAGGGTGATTGCCTCGGAAGTTCTCCTGCTGGATGTCTCTGAGGGAGGAGGAAAGGAGAGGGGATGAAAGAGATGGTTCTACTCCAGACCAGGTTATCTGAGGGACCGTCTCTTGCCGGTCACATCTACCCGACCCACCAGAGCGGGGAGGCAAGGAATGCTGTGGGTCCCGTCCCTTAGGGAGATACACCTGGCGGGACCCAGAAGAAGGGACTTCTCCGTGGTGGCTCCCTCTCTCTGGAACATCATGCCCCCCGAGATCAGAACGGCCCCCACTCTAACACTCTTCTGGAAGGCGCTGAAGACCTGGTTCTGCCAGTGGGCCTGGGGAATGCGGAGCAGGATGGAGCCCATTAACGGGTCATATGATGTACTGTCGCCGTGTGTGTGTGTGTGATTTTATTATATTAATTATATGATTCTCTCTTTTATTTGTTTTATTGTTTTTATATGAGGTTTTATATTCTTGTAAGCCGCCTTGAGTTGCCATGTGTGAATAGGCGGCCATATAAATTCCCTAAGATATAGATAGATAGATAGATAGATAGATAGATAGATAGATAGATAGATCAGACAGACAGACAGACAGACAGACAGACAGACAGACAGACAGACAGACACCCTGTTTTCCCCAAAATAAGACATCTCCTGATAATAAGCCCAATCGGGCTGTTGAGTGCATGGCGGTAAGGCCAAGCGCTTATTTCAGGGTTCAAAAAAATATAAGACAGGGTCTTATTTTTGGGGAAACACGGTAGATAGAAATAGATAAGAACGATTGGTGATAGATAGTGGATGGATGGATGGATAGATGATGGATAGATATAGATAGATAAATTGATATAGATAGATAGATAGACAGACAGACAGACAGACAAATAACTAAATAAATAAATAAATTACAACACCCCAACAACACAACCTATTATCCCCTGAAGCATCCCTATAGATTTCTCAAGTTTTGCCAACCTGGGCAAAAGAGATACTGTTGGAAAGCCAAAAAGAAGATTTTTTTGGCCGAGAACCTTTTATTTGTTTCTGTTGTGGCTCCGTTACCTGAGCCTGTGTCATCGGCAGGAGAGGACTCCGAGAGTGAAGGAGAGGAGTTGGCAAGGCCTCCCTCTCCAGGATCCTCCTCTCTGGCAATGCCTTTGGTGTCCGCCGAAGGGCAAGAGATAGGGCCAGGGCCAAGCACGTCCACGCAGCCACAGGTGGACAGTGATGAGAGTAATGAGTCTTGGCTGGATCCTCGATAGCGTCGCAGAGATAAGCGCGCGCAAGAGAAGAAAAGGCGTGCCCGAGATTAGGCTGAGTCACTGGACCACACCCCACAGGGTATAAAAGGGAGCGTGGTGGCCAGTCAAACCTTGTGACGAACAAAGCTGAAAGCTTCCACGCCATTCTGCATTGCCGGACTTTTGCTATAGGCTTTGCTGGATTATATTTGGACTTAAGTTACTCTGTAATTATTGAACATTTTACTTTGATGTACCAGAAGCGGAGAGACGTTATCTCTTCCCTTTGTGAATAATAAACTCTTGGCAGGCAGCCACTAGGTTGCTGCCAAGTTCCGTTATCATAAGGAAAAGAATTTTATCGGCTGGTTTGGTTTTTAACTCTTGGACGTCTGTTGGTGTGTGCACGTGTGGGACGGGGACAGAACAGTTTCAGAGATCACTGTGATCCCAAAGGCTCCTGGTGATAAACATGAAGCATAAATCATCTATAATAAATAAAGATAAGAAATATAACAACAATAGCATGAAATAGAGCATTCAGCGAAAAAACAGACCCTAGCTCAAGGTTGTCCAATCTTGGCAGCTTTTAAGACTTGTGGACTTCCCCAGCATGGATGGCAGGGGGATTCGGGGAGTTGAAGTTCACAGGTCTGAAAGCTGTCAAGGTTGAGAAACACTGCCTTATTGGTTAAAGCCAATACATTGGATTATATCCAGAATCTCATTGGAAGCCAATTTTAATTTGGGCAAGAATGATCCTGCACAAACATCTATTAGATGGGGAGGCTGGTACCCCAGGCAGGGCCTGATGAAACCTGAATTCCAGTGTCTAGGGTAGGACTGTCAAACTCACGGCAGATGCATCAAGCACTGGCCACGCCCACCCCCATTTTAGCAAAGTGGGGGGAAGTCACGATACATGATGACAATGTGACACCCTGTTCTAGGGCAGGAGGAATTTCATCCTTGCTTAGCAGCTTGTTAAGTGAGGAGGAAAAAAAGTGTACCCCAAAAGGTAAGAAACTTGGAAAGAAGTTCCAACTTGGAACTTGGAAACTGGGTAAGAATTTAGAGCAGTGGATTATACGAAGATGATCGATGCAGTTTCACACATCGATCATCATTGTATAATCCACTGCTCCAAATTATTCTTCCAGGCACTTGGCAGGAAAAGGATGGGCCATCCCTGTCTTACAACTTACAGAGGAAATTTCTACTTCAAGCAGGCGACTGTTCCTGTGACACCAGCAGCTATGAAAACCGATTTCTGCTTTCCTATTTGCATGGCCTGCAATCAAGAGCGGAAGAGCGTGTATCTACAGATCCCAAGATGGCAGTGGCAAGAATGGAAACAACGGAAGAGAATATTTGTAGCTCAGGGTTGAAACTGCGGTGTCCTTGGTACATGATGATGTTACCTACCGTATTTTTCAGACTATAAGACGCACCTACCTTTTTTTGGTGAGGAAAACAAGAAAAAGAAATCTGCCTCCCAGCAATTTTGCCTCGTAGCAGCAAACAGCAAATAGCCTGCTTTACTTTCATTTTCGTTTTCAGCATAGCTTGATAGCACAAGAAAAAAAAAATCTGATCCCAGCAATTTACCTCCTTGCAGCAAACAGCAGAGGCCCCCGCAAAACAGCTCGAGAGCAAAACAGCTGAGAGTCGGGAGGCCAATCCAAGGGACAATCACCTTGTGCCAATTAGGCTGTGCTGAAGCTGAAATGGGCTGTTTCTTCTTGCTGCTTGCAGCAAGGAGGTAAATTGCTGGGAAGCAGAGGCCAAAGGGTGGGCGGGGCTACATTTGGTGTATAAGATGCACCTAAATTCTCACCGCCTTTTAGAGGGGAAAAAAGGTGTGTCTTATACACCTAAAAATACGGTAATTTGGTAATGAAATGTCTGCAAGAAGAAAAGCAAGCGCAGGGAGCATCAAGGACCCCGCAGCAAAAATTGTGTCGGGCAAACTGAGATGGCCAACCAGAATTTTCGGCTTACGGAGACTCACATTGACTGATAAACAATGCATTGGTTCTACATTAGGCTTGGAAATCAAAACAAATGCAAAACTTTCTGGAGACTGTGATTAAAGCTTGTGTGTGTGAGTGTGTGTGTGTGTGTGTGAGAGAGAGAGAGAGAGAGAAAGAGAGAGAGAGAGAGAGAGACAGAGAGAGAGAGAGAGAGAGCGCGCAAAGCTGCCTTTGAATTTCATAAGTAACGTGGCAATGCCTCAAAAAGTGTACCTCAAAGGTAAAAACCGGGTTCGATAAAGGATGGCCCCCAACGTCCACTGAACCTCTTTATCGTATACTTGAAGTGCTGTTTTTAAGCTGTTGTAGTTCACAGGAAATCCGAAGCCATTGTGAAATACCTCGTACATCCAGGCTGACTTAAAGCATTGATACCTGCGAGGGATAAACATAAGCGACGCATCCAAATGGGGTTCTTATTTAGACAGGAAACCGAGCTAAACGGCACAATCCAAAAGAAGAATGAGCTAAATTCCACCAGTCTTAAGCACTTAATTGCGCATTCAAGGTCCCAGATGTTGTTACTCTGGATTCTGTCCAAAATAATTAAGATGCTTTCTTAGAAGGGCTAATTAAGCTGTGCGATGACAAAGAGATAGCCCTCCTCGGGGGGGGGGGGGCTTGTACGTTAATGAAAAGGAATGAAAGGTGTGGGGTGAAAACTTAAAAGTCCTTCTCCTGCAAGTTGCTGAAAACAAGGGACCGTGGAGTTGGCTTTCAAGGAGGGGAACTTTTCAGCAGAGTTAGCACAGGCAGTTTTTCTGAATTATTTCAGTAACCGTGAACCATGTTTATGATTTATGATAATTAATAATAGCCAATTTAGTCTGTGAGTAGGCAGGGTATGTGCATGTATCATCAAAACACCACTGTCTTCCAGAGAGGGAAGATAATTCGCTTCCTGTTCATTCATCACCATTATTTTCTATGTAGTGGGAAAGGAAGCCACCTGGTGACCAAAAAGAGGCACAGTTGTACCAAAAGGAAAAATACGTATATATTCTGTATGCCATCCCTCCCTCCTTTCTCCATCTCTCTCTCTTTCTCTCAAACTTCCTTCACTTTATGTTAGGCTTATCTTGTCTAAAAACCTTGCATAAAGCAAAATTGCAAAAAAAAAAAAAAAAAGAAAAAAAAAGAAAAAAAACAAGAAACTTGGGCAGGGGTGAAATGCTCCCGGTTCGGACCGGATTGCCCGATCTGGTAGCAATGGCTGCGGGTGATTCAGAGAACTGGTAGCAAAAATCCCTTGCCCCCACCCCCCATGCCCAGCTGAGCCGCAGGATCATCAGAGGCTTTTTTTTTTTTTTACTTTTAAAAGCATTTTTTCTACAACTTCTTCGGCCGAAAAAATGCTTTTAAAAGTAAAAAAAAAAAAAGCCTCTGATGATCGCGCGGCTCAGCTGGGATAGTCAGAGGCTTTTCAAAGCATTTTTTTTCTGCAACCTCTTGGCCGAAGAGGTGGTAAAAAAAATGCTTTGAAAAGTCTCTGACAATCCCAGCTGAGTTGCCCCACAGAACTGGTAGTAACAAATTTTACATTTCACCCCTGGACTTGGGGCTTTGGGAGAAAGATGTCTTGGTGTGTTTCAAGATTGGTTGCAAATTATGCTGACACAATTGTACAACAGTGACTTCTTTTTAGATTAAGCAAAATCTTGGATGAAAACAATTAACCACATTATATTGAATTGTGCAACATATATATATATCAAAGCATTGTCTTCCTTGAAACAATGACTTAATGAATTCCGTTTGGGATCTCTCTCTGGCAAGGACTGTTTAACCACATGTAGTACAGAAGAATGTGGATGCTTACTTCACTCGATGGAGATCTGCATGGGAGGCATACAGGCCACGATCAAATCTTTCCCGTAGAACAGACCACTTTGTGGCACAATATTCCTGGGGGGGGGGAAATGGAAATAAATATATACACGTTATTTATATAAATGCACACACAAGATGTCTCAGAAGTAATAATGCAGTCACTCAAAACTGACCAGTTACCTCTCAGTTATTCTGGTTTCTTTTTTATTATCATTAGCCTGGTTCCCCAAAAATAGGACCCAAACGGAAAATAAGTCCTAGTATGAGTTTTCAAGATACTCGTAATATAAGCCCTACCGCCAAAATAAGCCCCCGTTGTCAGCCAGATGGATGCATTTAGTACCATATTTGCAGAAAAACAAGACCTAACCAGAAAATAAGCCCTATTGCGCCTTCTGGAGCAAAAATTAATATAAGACCCAGACTTATTTTCGGGGAAACACAATATTTCCTACATATAGTTATTATCTTAAGAATTTATTTCCTGATTTATTGACAAATTTTAGCTGCCCTGTTATTTCTGGTATACCATATATAATGAAGAGCATTTTAGAATCAATATTACTGTCAGGTTTCGATGTCATCTCAAATAAATTGCACTCCCAAACAATTAATCTTTGCTGAAATATTCCATTTATTGACTACGACAGATCTGGCCCCGACTTCGTCGCAGCCGATACTAACCCTCTGACCCCCAAACCCTTCCCTTTCCGTTCCCCAATTCTCATCTGCTCATTGGCCATCTTCCAAGTCAGTCTCCCCAGCTTCTGACCTCACCCCACAGGAATGTTCCCCCTCCCCTCCCATCTCCTAGGGGATATTATCTACAGAGAAAATAAGTAGGTGAAAAGTCAAGCCTCGTCTTTTTATGGCAGCATCAGAATGCTGACAATTACCCTATGAGAGATTTACTATCTAAAATCTTGACGTTACAGAATGTGTTAATTTAGGGATTTTATTGTGTGGTGTATTTATATGCGATCTCCAGCCTGAGCTGGAGAAAAACAGGTTAGATTTCCTAAGGGCACCGAAGTTACTCCTACTTTCTCAGCCAAACCTTGAAGTGGGATATGCCCGGCCTTACATTTGCAGCTTTGAGGAACTGAACAGCCTTGTAATCTCCTCCCATCCTTAAGACGTCCTCGGTGCAGTAATAGAACTCTGAAAACCCGTAGAATTCGCTATTCTCGAAGTGGACGGGTGGCTGATAAATGCCATTCAGGGACGTTTGCGTTTCGTTGGTCTTGTTCATGAAAGGCTGAATGACATTGCGACACAAGTGGAAATCTCCTGTCCCTCGAAGGTACAGAGTCTGCCCATTCTGCTGGACTTCGTCCTCAGCGTCTAAGGGCAGGCAAGGGTCTAAGTAGGGAGTCTCGGAGGTCAGACCGATCTGTTTACCAAGAAGCCTGCAAGCAGAACGGATCAAAGGACAATCAATGGAATAGCCAAAGGGAACTAGATCTCGATTAGAAATATGGAACCTTATCCTTCTGCCCTGACAAAAGTATTCTTTTGTGAAGAGGGAGGAAATAGGGGAGCATAACCACCTAGCCCGGGTGTCAGCAATCTGTGGCTCTGGAGCTGCATGTGCTCCATGGCATTGGGCCTAGCTATCTTCGAGACTGCCTGCTGCTACCGACGACCTCCCATCGACCCGTGCGCTCCCACAGAGAGGGCCTCCTTGGGGTGCCATCAGCCAAACAATGTAGGCTGGTGACCCCCAGGGGGAGGGCCTTCTCTGTGGGGGCACCTACCCTCTGGAATCAGTTGCCCCCGGAGATAAGGAGAATCCAAGACCTCAGTGCCTTCCGCCGTGCCCTTAAAACCCACTTTTTCCAGCAAGCCGGGCTAGCTTAGGAAGAAATTTTTAAACTTTTTAAATGTTTTAATTGGTTTGTGATTTTTAAATTTTTTGGCCAAATTTATATATATTTTAATTGTTTTTAATATTTGTATTTCATGTTTTTAATTCTGGCTGTGCACCGCCCTGAGTCCTCAGGGAGAAGGGTGGTATATAAATTGAAAAATAAATAAATAAATAAATGTGGCTCTTTGGGCCCTCTGCTGTGGCTCCCTGTCGGGTGATCCCACCACTGGCTGGCCCTGCCCCTCGCTCTCCCCTCCCAGTCACTCCTCCCCTGGCCTGAGAAGGTAAGGGCAATGTCGGGGGATGGAGAAGCAGCCAAGGCAGAGACAGAGAGATACAGAGAGAGGGGGAGAGAGAGAGAGACATAGAGAGATACAGAGGGAAGGAGGGAGGGAGGAAAGGAGGGATGTCAAAAGAGTTTTGTGGTTCCCGGTGTTTTTTAACAACCAGTTCTCTGCCCTAATGACTAGTTGGGTAGGTGTGGCTGGGGGGGGGTCATGTGACTGGTAGAAGTGAGTGACATTGAGTTGGCCACGCCCACCCAGGTTTTGTGGCTCCCGGCGTTTTCTTTTCTGTGGGAAATGGGTCCAAATGGTTCTTTGAGTGTTTAAGGTTGCAGACTCCTGACCTAGCCCAAATCATTACAGTTCAATTATAGGGTCTGACCAACCAGACCCACACTGCAGAGTTCAAGCTAACGACTTTATTATGTTCTGCCTATAATACAGGAATCTCCTCAGAAGAGGCAGCCTTCTCTTGGGAGCAAACAAGACTCCAAGGAACTTAGATGATGGCAGTGGTTAAGTCTTAATCATTTTGCAGTTGTGCAGTGACTCAAGTTCTGTATTTGAGCCCTCCTCCCTGCCAGGTTGGGTTCTTCCCGCCATCAATTATATTTGGGGAAGCACCAAGCCATGGATTATTTCTTGTTTGAACAAGCCGTGCTGATCTGACTCAGCCATAACTCTAAGCCACACAGAATGATGTGTAAAGGGGCTAGTAGCTACCATCCTCCAAAAGGATGATAGGAGACCCAAAGGGGTGGATCTGACACCATCTACTATCAATTCCTATTACTATCAAGAGATGCGGTGGCTCAATGGCTAAGATGCTGAGCTTGTCGATCAAAAGGTCAGCAGTTCAGCGGTTCGAATCCCTAGTGCCGCATAACGGGGTGAGCTCCCGTGACTTGTCCCAGCTTCTGTCAACCTAGCAGTTCGAAAGCACGTAAAATATGCAAGTAGAAAAATAAGGACCACCTTTGGTGGGAAGGTCACAGTGTTCCGTGCGCCTTTGGCATTTAGTTATGCCGGCCCCATGACCACGAAGATGTCTTCGGACAGCGCTGGCTCTTCCGCTTTGAAACGGAGATGAGCACCGCCCCCTTGAGTTGGGAACGACTAGCACATATGTGCAATGGGAACCTTTACCTTTTCCTTACTATCAATTCCTACTTCTGGCTGGTTTTTGCCCCCAACTGAACTAGGGCCTTTCATATAAAAAGCTTCCCTGCCCCCAATTTAGCTCTTACGTTCTGGCATCTAGGAAAGAGTTTTATTTTATTTGTCCTGATAATTTACTTAATAAGAATGAAGATGACCGTGCTCTGTTTGATGCAGGTTTTTTTTTAAACTCTTTGCTCTTTGCTCTACACTTTGCTGTTGCAATGTCATTGTCATTTGACAAAAATTTCAAATTCTGAAAATCCAAGGATCTTGTTGGTACAAATGTGGCATAGAAACATCTTTAAAAACAAACACATCTGGACCTTTCCTGTAAACACTGAATTATTTTCATACACACAATTTAGGATTGACAATTGCAGAAAACCAGCTGTGTTAAATCAATTGTGTAAACAGGCTTTTTCCTTCTGCAGTTGACATGACAACTAATCGCATTCACTCACGTAGCCTCAAGTCACTATTAGTCACCCCTAGCTTATACTGCATTTTAAGACCGGAAATCTAATATTCTTTTTTTGTTTTTTGACACGTGCCTGTTTCAGAGATTTTATGCTTAAGCATGTCACGAAAGTTACAATTTGGAAGCAAATTCATGACAGCCCCCGCACCTGTTTCTCAATACTGTGTTGGTGAATATATTGTCTGCGTATCTCTGTCGAGCAGCGTTACCACCAAAGCCCAGAAAAGTTGCCACGTAGACGCGATACACGTGTTCGTTCTGGTGAGCGTCACATCCCAAGTTAAATTCCGCCAGTAGGTTCTTGGCCACCTCCTCCTGCCGGCCATCAAAGAAAGAGATTGAGAGAGGCAGAGTTCGGCTCTGCTGTGTTTCATTCCCCAGGTTTTGATTAGTCAAGAACACTTCCAGCTCCGTTGGGTTTCAAAACCTTCTTGGCAACAGTTGTTTACAGTAAACACCTGAGCAATAAGCCAAGGATGGGACAAGTATGGCCATTGAGAGGTTCTCGGGTACAACTTTCCAACAGCTTCAGCCATCATAGCTTAATACGAAGGGATAGATCTGGAAATGTATCCCTTTTCTGGTTTCCTGGCCCTGCACAATGGAAACAACACCGATGTCCAAATATTTGTCAACTACAGGGACAGCTATGCATATGCCCATATAGACCATGCTAGCAAATATTACACCTTTCCTTCCTCTATGGTAATTTTTAATAATGAAATATTTTCAAAAGTGGTTTGCCATTGTCTACCTCCTAGGGCTGAAGGAGAGGGACTTGCCCAAGATCACTCAGCTGGCTTCATACCTAAAGTGGGATTAGAACTCCCAGTCTCCTGGTCATTGGCCCAAAGTCTGGCTTAATGCCTAAGGCAAGACTAGAACTCATAGTCTCCTAGTTTGTAGGCTGAAATCTTAATCACAATTGAAATGTTCTTGGTGCGTTTATCCTGGCACCAAGACAAGCTTTATTTTTGATCCCAAAAATTGAAACGGGAAAAAAGAGGTTTTCACAAGCCATAGATTTTGATAAAACCTAAAAAACAAACAGTATTTAATGTGCAAAATCTGTGAATGTCTCTTGCCTTCTGTCACAGATCAGATATATTCTATAGAGATGTAACCCTAAAGCTCTATGTAGCTGTAATACTAAACTGTGGTTTTGTTTCTAAACACAGGTTAGATGTTTTTGAATACATAAACCATAGTTAAGAAATGAATCCACTGTTTATAGTGGTTAAATGTTTGACTGATCATGTTCCAAGCATGCTTTTTGAGAGCAAGATTTTTCTGAGCTCCTATATTCAGGTTTTCTTATATCTGAGTTTTCAGCCAGAGTTAAAGAAACAGACCATGCTTACTGCTATTTACAACAAAGCATCAGATCTGTATTCATTTTCAAAAAGCCCACAGTGGTGCAGAGGGCACAAGTAATGTAGAAAAGGAAGCCTGGAGCAACAATAGGTTAGAAAAATCTGCTGTACTAAAAAAAAGGAGAATTCTGGATTTTATTTTTCCTCTTGTAAAAGCTACTGAGAACAGAAAGTAAATAAATAAAAGTGAACTTCCACACTGTACTGTACTTTTAACTGTCTGACCATGATTCATTCAATAAGGTACAACAGTTGGAGTTACACATCCAACTAGGCCAATATCAAACAAAGCTTGTAACAGCTAAGTATTATATGAATCCAATGTTTCCTTTTCGTCTCAAAAGGCTGCAGGTCAGGATTTTCCTTGTATTGAGTGCCACACAGTCAACTCAGGTATACCATACAAATAACAGTTCCTATTAATACCCTGTTTCCCTGAAAATAAGACCCAACTGAAAAATAAGCCCTAGCATGATTTTTCAGGATGCTCGTAATATAAGCCCTACCCCAAAAATAAGTCCCAGTTAAGATGGTCAGCAGACGGAGGTGTTTAGTACTGTATTTCCCCCAAAATAAGACCTAACTGGAAAATAAGGCATAATGCGTCTTTTGGAGCAAAAATTAATATAAGACCCAGTCTTATTTTAGGGGAAAACATGGTATTTTCCTGACAATATTTACATTTAGAATAAATGATTTTAAAAAGGGATTCTGCGACACGTCAACCATTAAGAAATCGCATCCAATAGTAACCGCAAGTTAGTTACTAACAGGGCATATTTTTCTTTATGTACAGTATGAAAAAAAAAAAGATAATTTCAACAGCAATATTCATCCACGTTAAGCTCCGCATCGTAAAGCAAAACACATTTCTAGCACACGGACTGATGAAATGGAAAAATAACGTTTTATGGATTGCTTAGCTGATGGGACACAGAAGTTCAGCTCCTTCTCTTCATGCGGGGGGTGAAACTGCTCGCGCACCGTAGGGCTCAGGACTCACACCGTGCAAAAGAAAATGAATCAATGGACATGGGTTAAAATGCAGGAAAACAAAAGAAGGAAAGTTGTACAGATAATAACCTGCTGTGAAGAGGCAAAGCTTACAGTTTTAGGGACTTCATACGCTATTTGAGTTGAAACACCACCCATGTCAAGTATACCCACGGTCCTCTTCCGGACAACTTCCTCTTTGCTTTCGCTGTCGGGAACGTGCACTTCTACTACCGCCTCCTCCTCTAGAAGACAAGACGGGGAAGAGGCGCTGCTGAAAACGGGGCGTCGCTTCAATTTTTGTATTATTGCACAGGGGGTCCTCGACTTACGACCTCAAATGAGCCCCGGATTTCCTGTTGCTAAGTGAGACGTTGGCTAAGTGAATGATGACCTTTCTGGCCACCGTTGTTAAGTGAATCCCTGCAAGTGGTTAAGTTTGTAAAGACGGTTGTTAAGTGAATCTGGCTTCCACATTGACTTTGCTGGTCAGAAGGTGTCATGCCCCCCGTCGGAGTCTGAATCTGAGATGGAAGAGGAACAGCTAACAGAGAGAGAGACAATGGCTCCGTTGGCTGTGGAGGAAACTGGGGAAGGGCAAAGTCAGGCTGGGCAGAGCAGGGGAGAGGTAGAACAAGGAAGAGGGGGTTCAGATGAAGACTAAGGCCCACCCCCTCCTCATCCTAGGGCACGCAGGGAAGAACGCAGAAGAGAGCAATGTGGGTTGTGTGGCTTACAAGAAAGGAAAGGGTCCCGATTCCCTTCACAAGGCACACCTGGGGATGGAGTTTAAAGGAGTTTGGGAGGGGCCTTTGTCGGGAACAAACGCTGAATTAATCTGGTGTTGAGAGTTGTGGCCTGCATTCCCTCCTGACTGTTTGAATTACTGCCGTGCTACTGTGTGCCTATCTTGTCTTGCTGGGATTATTCTTATTTATTTATTTGTTTGTTTTTAAATTTGTATACCGCCCTTCTCGCCAAGGACTCAGGGCGGTGAACAGCCAAGTAAAAGCATAAACTACAAACATTAAAATACAATTAAAAAGATATATATAAATTTGGCCCCATGATTAAAAACAATAACAAACAATTAAAAACATTAAAAAAAAGTGTTAGGCCAGCCCGGCTTGCTGGAAAAAGAAGGTTTTAAGGGCATGGCGGATATATAAAAACATTAAAAATTGAAACATTAAAAATGAGCCCCGTCTGGGGCTCATTATCTTGCCCTGCTGGAGTGATTGATTGCAGTCATTCTGTTTACAGTGTTTGGACTGGAGTATCTGCAGGTTTGTGGGAGAGCTTTTCTCCAGGCCTTAAAAGGGATGTTGGGGGCAGAATTGGTGCCAATAAAGGGATTCATACCAGTTCTCTGGCTGTGCTGCCTTCGTGCCACGCCCCAGGTCATCACAGAAGGTCGCAAAAGGGGGATCGTGTGACCCTGGGACGCTGCAACTGTCATATGAGTCAGTTGTCAAGCATTTGAATTTTGATCATGTGACCATGGGGATGGCGTAAGGGTGGAAAACAGTCAGAAGTCATTTTTTTCAGTGTTGTAACTTCAAGTGGTCACTAAGCAAACTGTTGTAAGTCAAAGGCTACCTGTAACTGTTTTGATTCTTAATTCGTTTGCTAGCCAGAGTCACTTTTTGCATACAGATTAAATAAACCAACAAATAAATAAACTCTTCTCAATATCTAAACCCTTGCTGGGTCTAGCAACAGTCAAGGAACCAACAGGATCTCGACAATGTCGGTTTAATATTTAGAGGCCAGAAAGAATATAACTTGCCCAAGAAGAGCCTTTCCTAGTGTAGAAAGTCTTAAAGGGATGTGATGTTGGGACACTGCAAAGAAACACTCTGAGCAGTGCACGAGAAAGTGCTGCTAATATAAAAAAAGCAGCTAAACTGTAGTGCGAGAAATTAAGATCTGAGATTTGTTTATGTTAATTATATTAATATTTTTAAATAATGCAATAATATTCTTAGTAATGTTAAGAAAAATACTTCCCAAATGCCAAATGAATAGGCTCAAAAGAATAACACAGTGTTGGGAAAGTTGCAGAAAAAGCACTTAAACTGAATAAAAAGCAACCAGAGCAATCCAAAATCCATAGGAGGCCATACCTCTACTTGCAACAACAAAAAATTATATAAAAGAGAATGACGATTTTTGAGTTTTCAGAATTCTTCTGATAGTATGTATGTATGTATGTATATTAATTTGTATTCCCCTCCCCATCATGCCTAGAGGTGATATTATGGCTATTTTAGATTGATTTGCAACTGATTTGAGAGACAGTCACTAAAAGAAATATTTTCTCTACAAGTCTTGATTTTTGTTCTCTAATAAAACCCTAAATGCAGATTACGGAAAACAGCTAATTAAGCTGTGAACCAGCCAAAAATAAACTTAGGAGGAGTGGAGGAGGCAACGCTGGGGACCAGTTAAAGCTAAACTGTGAACCAGCTAAATATAAGGTAAGGAGTGGAGGAAAGCATCCCTGGAAACAGTTTATTATGCTGTAATCCAGCAAAAAATAAATTTAGGAGGAGAGGAGGAGACATACTGGGGAGCAGTTAAAGCTAAACCGTGAACCAGCGAAATATAGGTTAGGAGTGGAGGGAAGCATCCCTGGAAAAGAGCTGAAAAGCTGTTATCCAGCTAAAAATAAACCTAGGAGGAGTGAAGGAGAAAACGTTGGAAGCAGTTAAAACTAACTGTGATCCAGCCAATAAATAAGATCAGGAGTGGAGGAAAGCATCCCTGGAAATCAGCTAATTAAGCTGCAATCCAGCTAAAAATAAACCTAGGAGGAATGAAGAAGATACTTTTGAAGAATGGATATTGACTTTAAAATGTCTTTCAGAGAGGAATGAAATATTTAATATTGGTTATTAATATTGGTTATCTGGTCTAAAAGAAATATTGACTTGATTTGGGTCTTTGAAGTACAGAAAATACATGAAATACTGATTGTTAAAATGATAAATGAATACTATAAAGTGCTGTTTGGATTTGAAGTTTAAGAGTTAGGGTGACTACACAATAGAAACTTAAATGTTAGAATAAGATGTTAGATTGAATGATAAAAATTGGGTTTAGATTTGGGATTTTTTTTTAATTTTTTTTTATTTTTTTGTTATTTTTGTTACTTTTTGTTTGTCTTAAGATGTTAATGGATGAAATTGGGAATTTATACCTATGTTATACTGGGCCAAACTCTTGCTCCAAAAAGATGTTGTTTTATGTTTTAAAAATAAATAAAAAATTTTTTCAAAAAAACAAACAAATCCTAAATACAGATTTGAAGAATTGTTATGGAGACACTCTTAACCAAGTACCGAGGCTGAGCAATTTCCATTTGTAAGAATAAAGCCAGAGGAGGAAGAAAACTGTGCACTAACAATGATACTTTAGCAATTCTTGGAATTAATTAATATTAAGGCCCTTACCTTCATCCATATGTTCAAATTTTCCAAGGACAAAGTTGATGCCAATCCACGCATATACGCCTGGATAAAATGTAAAAAGTACATTTGTAAATATTTTAATATCACTGGTGGGGGTGGGGAGGTGGGGAGCTTTTAAAAAAGAACACCTTAACAAAACCAAAACAGTAGCAAAACAGAGCTATATCAAGTATACATAAAAAAATTCAAACTCTGCTTTCTTGAAAACTCAAATATATATTTGCAAGTGAAAATGCTCCAGCACTCCATCAAATTAAAGAAGGCAATGCTCCTTAGCTCATTAAACCCCTTAAGCCTCACAGCTTAGCAAATAGTTTCCTGGTGATTTCACACACACACCGGACAAATATTTACAGGGACAAAGTTTTTGCATGTTACTATAATCCTGTATAAATGAGGTTCCAGCTCATGTAAAAACTTTTGCACATAATAGTTACATACCGGTATGTAAAAGTTCCTTCCTTGCAGATGTTTATTTTGTGTCCCGTGTGCCTTTAAATATCAGGATAGTTAACATTATCTGCTTCTCTTGAAACATTTTCTTAAAATATACCAGCAGGTTCAGGCTGGTGTTAACAGGCTGCACAGAGCATCTTAATAAAGATACATTGGTACGCTATTCTTTCCTGGACTGGACAGTTTCACTCTGGCTAGTAGCTCAGTGATCACAAAACACAGGCCTCTCCTAAATTATTTCTGATCTTGCAAAAACTAAAAAGAAGTGTCAGTACTTCCAAATATTGCCGCCACCACCACTGGGCACAGTGAAGAGAAGGACCAGGGGAGACACGATAGCAGTGTTCCAATATTTGAGGGGCTGCCACAGAGACTATTTTCCAAGGCACCTGAAGGCCAGACAAGGTATAATGGATGGAAACTGAACAAGAACAGTGAGAGCAATCAACCAATGGAACAGAAGTTGCCTTCGGAAGTTGTGGGAGCTTCATCACTGGAAGCTTTCGAGAAGAGACAGGACTGCCATCTGTCAGAAATGGTGTAGGGTCTCCTGCTTGGGTGGGGGGTTGGACTAGATGACCTACAAGGTCCCTTCCATCTCTGTTACTCTAAGCTAAGACGCTCTCAATAATGAGGCCTCTTTTCTCCAGTTTTTCAGGACCGTGCCTTCTCACTTTTTCTCTGGTTACATATTCCATCAGACCCCTGACTAAAATTCCAAGCTTTCTTTGCTTCAGCCTGTATTCTTACCTTCTTGCTTTCCTGAAATCACTTCAGCATGAGAATCCGAAAACAGAAAATCAAAATGCACTGGGATATCAGTAAGAAGATCTTCCAGTATCGCCTTTTGCTGGCTGCAAGATTTGAAGTGGATTAAATGTAAATTAGGATCTATTTCTGTGGACAAATCTTTCTGTTTAAACGTTAAGAGGAAATAAAAGATATTCAGGTTACCTCTCTGGCAGGATTCTCATCCCTGCGGTACAGAGAATATACAGAGGGGTTTCTTTGTGCTTTGCACGGGGTATGTGTTCAGCAGCAAAGTTCAGAAGCGGAAAAATATAGTCACTAACTTTCTCAGGAGAGGTAGCAAATTCTGAAATGCCTACAAAGCGAGAGAGATAAATACACTTAACCATACATCGACATGAGAAAGCAGAACACACTTTTTAATAAGGAGAGTATTTTTCTCACTTAATACCCAAGGTGGGAATTCAGTCAAAGGCAAAATACTGCAACTTTTAAAAAGTCATGCCTTTCTAAAATACAATATGGGTGTACAAATGCAGGATATTATCTTAAAACAGGGGTGTCTATTTCACTGAGGGTTACATCAGGGTTGTATCTGACCTCGGAGGGGCGGGGGCCGTAGCCATGGTCAGGTGTGGGCATGACACAGGACTCATGTCGGGAGCACCTGTGGTGCAAAGTGCTAAGGCAGGACTTCCCTGAGATCCTCCTTCACTCTCATTATAATCCCTTCCTTCCTTCCTTTCCTTCCTTCCCTCATTCTCCTTTCTTCTTCCTTCCCCTTTCCTTATTTTTCCTTCCTTGCTCTCTTTCCATCTTTTTCGTCTTTCCCTTTCTCCTTTCCTGTCCTGTCTTGCATGCTCAAATGCAAAAGGGGAAACATTTCTCCTTTTGTAGCCGAGTCCCGTTTTCGCTGGCAGAGAGCTCCAGGAGGCTGTAGCAGGTGAAAACGGGGCACGGGGGGGGAGGGGGAGGAGCGTGCACCCCCGAGCCCCATTTTCTCTTACAGAGGCACCGTGGGCCGGTTCTTTGCTATTTCTGGGCTGCATATCTAAGCACCCCATAAGCCAAATCCGGTCCTCAGCCCTTGAGTTTGACACCCCTGTCTTAAAATTACATTCTGTATAGCAATACTTTAAATAAGATATTGTGAAAAATTGTCCTGAACGAAACTTGGCCTTTAATGTTAGTATACAAATATTAGCAATAAAAAAATAAAATGAAATAAAATGAAACCTGTTTGCATCTTTGGGGCTTTTTTAAGCGTTAAGAATCTGAAGAAATAAATGAAAAACAGGGGGACAAATGTGGGAAGTCCCAGGTCTTGCAGATCCCAAACAAAATGGCGGAAAGAATCCACCGCATTTTAAGAAACAAATATTGCCAAATCTTTGGCATGACGGAGTTTCTTCATAGGCAAACAAGCAGCTGGGGGAATAGGTATGACTTCCCCTGGTACCTGGCTTAATTTTCATAACCACTGGATTTCTGTTTTTGTCCCGCATTTGTTTGATGTCAAGTAAATCATGAGGATTGCCATTGTGCCTTGGCCACCAATACACGAAGATCCGAGACCCACTGCTTCCACAATCCACCATGATGCCGTAATTCAGCTTTGAGTTGCTCGTATCTGTGGCTTCGGTGTCTGTAACTCGGGCAAGATACCTGGGAGAGAGAGGACAGAAGAACTGCTCAGAAGTACTGTATTTTTTGGACTATAAGACACACCGGAGTATAAGACGCACCAAAATTTCGAAAAGGTAAATAAGAAAAAAAAAAAAAAAGTTTTCACCCTCCCTGACCCCCAGGAGCACTCTGCAGGCCTCCCAAACCCTCTGCATGTCCTGTTTTTGTGAAAAATGGGCTTGTTTTTCGCAAAAAATGGGGTGTGCGGTGTTTGGAAGCCTGCAGAGTGCTCCTGGGGCTGGGGAGGGCAAAAACGCCATTTTTTTGCAAAAAATGGGTCCATTTTTGGCCTCCCAAACCCCCCCACGCGTTGCATTTTTGCCCTCCCCAGCCACCAGGACCACTCTGCAGGCCTCCAAACACTCTGCGCACCCTATTTTTGCAAAAAACAGGCCCGTTTTCGGCCTCCCAAACCCCCCACACATCTCATTTTTGCCTTCCCCAGACCCCAGGAGCACTCTGCAGGCCTCCCAAATCCTCTGCGCATCCTGTTTTTGCAAAAAACAGGCCTGTTTTTGGCAAAAATGGGACACGCGGGGCAGGGTTTTGGGAGCTCCAAAATGGCTGTATTCGGTGTAAAAGACGCACCAACATTTCCACCCTCTTTTAGGGGGGAAAAAGTGTGTCTTATACTCCGAAAAGTACGGTAAGTTTCACTGAACCCAGGAATGCTGCAGAGGAAACAGGGGCAGGACAAAGCCCTAATGTAATTCACACTGAACTTGATAGCTCCGGAAACACATATGTAAGAGCAATTATGCAATTACATTTCCCTTGCTTGATTTGGAGGTTTATCTCTTTATCTGTGTCTTACACTGAGTGACACTGGACTAGCCACCAACACTCAGGCCAGCCTACTACTTCAGAGGACTGTTATTGTAGAGATTAAATGAGGGGAGGCCTAGATTTATGCCAATTTAAGTTTATACAGAAACGGAGGGGATATTAACACAATGAATAAGTTTAATGTAAGGTGATCTGTCTCATTTTGTTAGGTGTTCAGTTTTGGATTGGTTTTTAATCCACCGGACAAAGATTACCTGTGCAGCTTTTTGTCCCGGGAGCTGTATTTTAAAACAGAGTAATATAATATGAAAAATGCAGCAGCGAGGAGTCCAGTGACAATAATTTGCCGTAATGTGGTGTTCAGTATCCGTGGGCACCCAACAGGGGAAATACTGAAGTGCCAGGAAGCAGGAAAAAGGCAAGAGAAACTGATCCTGGAATGAAGAAAAACAAGACATCTGCATTTAAAACTCTGTGCTGGCACCCCACAGATACAACTGTTGAAATATATCACTGTTCATTTAAAAAATAAATAATTTTCAGGGAAAAAAAAGTATTTTTTCTGGCAACTAAAAAAAAAGTCTCCCCCCCCCCCCCCCCCCCCCCCCCACTATTCAGTCCAAACTGTAGAAACCTTTCTTTACAAGCATGGATATGTTCTTATCTGACAGTATTTATAGCCCTGACCTTCCATAACAACACAATATACAAAGTGATATATTCAGAAAATATATGAAAATCCAAGGGTCAAATATTTATTTATGGTTGAATAAATAAACAAGTGCAAGCTAAATCCTTTTTAAAAAATATATACATTCACTAAAATCAGGAAACAATGCTCTTATAATTAACAATTATAAACAAGATTATACGCAGTTATAAGCAAGACTAACAATTATAAACAAGCAAGAACTTTGGGAACAGAGGAATGACTGCAGAATGAAATAGCCAGATTGAGAATGGTTAGACGTGGCAAACAGATTAACATGGAACATTCTGAAACATTTCTAATGTAGTTTTAAATAGTTCAGCTCTTCCAGTGCGAACAACTGAAATACTGTTGTTGGAACTGCATGTTTTCTAGAAGGGAATCAAGAAATGTCTTGTAAATATCGGCTGGGAGAACTAAAATTTTTAATAATTTGTACCGTCATGTTTTATTGTAATAAAATTTTACAAAACTAGCAAAGCTAGCAAAAGTGACCTGGATGACTTGATATGCTAAATCATAAGCCATGGTTTATAAACTAGAACTGAGTCCACACATTTGGCTAAGGCCAAACAAGCCACATTTTTTCCCACTTACCACAAAAACAAATCGTGGCTAAAACAAATGTTGACTTATTGCAATACAAACTTTCAACCTTCAGATCTGCAACATGGAGGCAACTGATTTATAGGGCTGTTTAAGGATTACTGAACTAATTCGGAAGATAATATTTGACAATTCCAATATTTTGTGTGTCTAGACAAATGCCCTTGATTAATTATGCAGATTTTATTTTAAAAACAGACAAAAACAAAACAACTATTAAAACAAAAGATGTGAAGCATCATTAAAGAGAGGCATTACTATTTTAATCAGCTGATTAGCTCGTTTTTAGTTTTCCATAACAGAGTTAGCTAGGGTCCCACCCCTTTCTTAATAGTGTTGCCTTTTGGAACCAACCATTTCATGGCACTATCAGGGAGAGGCAGAAAGTGCATATTACATTATTGGCCACAGTATTTTCAGGGGTCCAGGGAGATTACAGATGCCTACTTCTATCCTGGGACCATCATCGAGGAAGTCTCACTGTTCCAAGCCAATTGGGGATAGTCCAGAACTCAAAAGAAAAAAAATCATCAACATTTCGAGACAGATGACCAAAACGGATGCCTCTACAGTAGTGGCCAAAATTGTGGAAACCTTTTGGGAGAAAGGGTATTTTTGAGGTTTGATGGCTAATAACACCACATTTTTTTGGAGTTTCAAGGCAATCATATTCCACTGCTGGAATGGCCTGGGAATAGCCTAGACCTTCACCCAATTGAAAATCTATGGAGCCGACTAAAGAAACTTGTTAGTCAGAAGCGACCCAGCAATAAAACCCAGTTAATGGAAGCCATCATTCAATCTTGGTTTCACATGATAACAGCTGCAGAACTAAAAGACCTGGTTACCCAACTAAGTATTAACTGACATGGGGATAATTTTTGCATATCTCATTTTTTCTATGGTGATCATTTTTGTATATCTCGTTTTTCTACATGTTTCACTTTTCTTCTTTATATTGTAATTGCTAATAGCAAATCCTTCATAAAAGTTATTGCGTTACATTCTTGATTAAATTATCTTTCCATTGATATATACCTTTATGGTACTACTCCCCCCAAAAAGTGGTGTCATTAGCAATTTTTAGAAAATACACTTTTCCCAAAACGTTTCCACAATTTTGACCACTACTGTAGATGAATCTTGCAGTATCCTATATACTAAGGCAAAAATAAATAAGTGTGATCTGAATTGGGACTGGGACCCAATGAGAAGCCCAAAAAGTATGGAGCAATAATTATATAGATGAAGGTACTGTTGCTGAGTGGCAGGTTTCCTGTTATGCTCATGCTGGACAGCTCCGTGACTGCCCCGGCCTGTTCATCCTTAGCCACTCTTGATAAAATAGACTTTGTTGTACATTAAAGGACTGGCAGAACCAGGAAAGATATCCCCTGAAACAAGTGCTTAGCATACATAATTCAGGTTAATCATTCTTTCTTCCTTAAAGCTATTTTTGTATTGCTCATGATGCCACCCAAGCCATCAGACAACTAACAAACATTGGTATCTCAAATTGTACAAGTTTTAGGGGAAAAAACAGGGGAAGCATTAAATTTCTGGCTACTGAAACTTAAAAATCAAACACATTTGCCAAGTTTTGTTGTTTTGACACATCCAGGATTTGGATACTCACCTACCCATTTCTGATCAGGATAACTAGGTCACAGAAAAAGCTACCTTTTTACGGTCAGCCCAGATTCATAAGGCACAAGATTCATCCCCGGAACCAACAGTACAAGTAGGAACTGAAAAATATTAATTAAAAGTTAGCATTTTCACTCAAGCTAAAACAGATGAAATGCCATGAAGTCAAATTAATGTATGTTAGCCAACATATCCTCCAGAAAGTTCAAAGTGGTATGCATAAAGTTATGATTCTTTTTCCCTCTGCCTCTAAGAAGTAAGACTGAGAGATAATATCTAATTCAAGGCACCTCACATCTATTCTCCAATTACTCTATACACTTTTAGCAGACATTGTATTTTTTCATTCTATCTGAAAAAGGAGATGATGATCAGCTTTGGCTCTGTACAGATATGAAGCTTAATTTTTTAATAAAATGTTGTCTTCCCAACACAGATACACAGAATTTTAGAAACAAACAAAAACCTTCCTAGTATTAACATTTATAAACTCTGAAATATAGCAGAAAGTTCTGAAAATCTTGTTCCTTGCCATATTTGGAAAATATATGTCTTTTTTCGTTGTTTTCAAACTGGCAAATATTTTTGAAGTAATTAATAGAAGCTCTTCACAAAAGATTTCATGAACGGTAATTTCCATTTATAAAAAGATATTTATAATTCCTGTAGTGAAACTTCAATTGGTTTTAGGACGTACTTTCAAACGTGCAATAGAACATTTAAAAAGGTATGCCTGCTTACCTATAAAACACAGTAATCTTTGGGCAGAAGACACCAAATGTTTAATGCAAGCTGCATTCCTTAATAGTTCCATGGAAGAAACACTGGAAGAAGCCATCTCATTTGGAAACTAAATAGGGAATATAGAACATAAATGTGATAAAAATTAAGACATTTTCTCAGTAGAAACTGTACATAATCCTGAACAGCTGCTGCGACATTAAAAACGTTGAATCCATTTAGTTAGTTAAAATGTTTACATGTTACTTTTTATGCCACGTATCTTCAGGCAAGTGTACAATACAGACATATCCTTAAAAACTCTCTAATTTAAGATTCAATATACCACATAAAACATTATGATTAAAATACATAAAAAGCTACAAAACATAAGCTAGCTGCCATGAATAGTTGAACAATAATATTATGAGATGTCAAATGGCAGATTAACAGTATTCTCAGCAGTATCTGAATTATTGTAAGGCTGGCACCGATGAAAATATATACAGGTAGTCCTTGACTTACAACAATCCATTTAGTGACCGTTCAAAGTTAGAACGGCACTGAAAAAAGTGACTTATGACCATTATTCACACTTATGACCATTGCAGCATCTCCATGGTCACGACTGACATTCAGATGCTTGACCATTGGCTCATATTTATGACAGCTGCAGGGCCCTGGGGTCACGTGATCCTCTTTTGTGACCTTCCAACAAGCAAAGTCAACGGGGATGCCAGATTCGCTTAACAACCCTGTTACTAATTTAACAACCGCAGTGATTCACTTTAAGAAATGTGGCGAGGAAAATCGTAAAATGGGGCAAAAATCACTTAACAAATTTCTTAATTAACACTTTTAATAAATTTTGGGCTTCATTGTGGTCGTCCGTCTAAAGACTGCCTTTATTTCTTTATTTCTAAGATCAAACACAACAAAAGAAGATAAAGGTAGGAAAGGGGGGGGGAAACTAAATTAAATCTTTCTCACTGACATCTAGCTTTCTGGTTAGAAGAACATACTTTGTGCCCTTTATTCTAGTCTGAGATGGGACAGTTTCAAATCCAGCCTATCCCTCTATCTTATCTTGTCTTTTTATGTACACTGAGAGCATATGCACCAAAGACAAATTCCTTGTGTGTCCAATCACACTTGGCCAATAAAGAATCCAATTCAATTCCAGTTCAATTCTATTCTATTTCTATTCCGTTTCTTTTCATTCTATTCCATTCCCTTCCCGTTCCCATTCTCTATTCCATTTTATTCTGCATTCCCACTCCACTCCACCCCATTCCTTCCCCATCCCATCCCATCCCATCTCATCCCAGAATATTATCGGACTCCAGCTACCAGCCCTGGACGACATCTTCGAATCTCGCTGTTTGAGGAAGTTGCATAACCTTCTCAGAGACTCTTCCCATCCTGCTTACAATCTTTTTGGACTGTTGCCTTCTGGCAGAAGATACAGAACAATTAAAACTCGGACCACACGTTTTCTGAATAGTTTTTATCCCAGAGCTATAATTGCACTCAACAATGAACTAAAGGGCCACCATCCGTGAGCTGTTGGACAGCATTACTTGGTCTGTTGTGTGGATGTTTGGGTGATTTAGGGGTGGGGAATTTGTGGTGGGTGGGAGTGTGTTTGGGGATTGTTATGTGTGTTGGATCTGGTCTTTGGGTATTAAGTGAATTTCATTATATGGGTATACTGTGTATACACGTACAATGACAATAAAGTTTATTTATCCTTATCCTTATCCCTATCCCTATTTGTCTAGCAGTTCCAAGGGAGAGAGCCTTCTCTGTGGGGACACCTACTCTTTGGAACAAAATACCCCCTGGAATATGAATAATCCCAGATCTTCGCACTTTCCGACATGCCCTGAAGACCTTTCTGTTTCAACAAGCAGGGCTAGCATAAACATCTAAATTCTATGCCAAGGTCTTAGCAGATACACTAAGTTGACTCAATTTATTATTTACTGTTTATAAATATATATATATATATATATATATATATATATATATATACACATATATATTATATGTATATGAAATCTTATTCTGTTCACCGCCCTGAGTCTTTCGGGAGAAGGGTGGTATAGAAATTCAATTAATAATAATAATAATAATAATAATAATAATAATAATAATAATCCCTATCCCTATCCCTATTCCATTTCTTTTCATTCCATTCCATTCCCTATACCATTCTATTCTGTATTCCCACTCCACTCCTCCCCATTCCCCTATCCTATCCTATCCTATATCCGTGATGGTGAACCTATGGCACGCGTGCCACAGGTGGCACTCGGTGCCATATCAGTGGGCACGCAACCTCAGCTCCCGCCACCTGATTTTTGGGCCTTCTGGGCCATCAGAAGTAGGGAAACAGGCTGTTTCCAGCCTCCAGAAGGCCTCGGGAGGGTGGGGAAGGCCCATTTTTAATTATTGTTTTGTTTCTGTGTTTTTAAATAGGCTGTACACCGCCCTGAGTCCTTCGGGAGAAGGGCGGTATAGAAATAAATAAATAAATTTATTATTTATTTATTTATTTATTTATTTATTATTTATTTATTTATCGCTTCTCCCAGGCTCCAGAGCCTTTCTAGGAGCCTGGGGAGGGCTAAAATGGCCTTTTCCACACACCCACCGTGCCATCTTGTGCCAAAAGGGGAGCACGGGGGGGGGTCATGCGCGCATGTGCAGGGGACATGGAATTATGGGTGTGGGCACGCAGGCGGGCGGCCCCCCCTACTCCCCCCGCTTTTGGCACATGATGGCAAAAAGGTTAGCCATCACTGTCCTATATCTTATATCCTATTCTATCCTATCCTATTCTATTCCCCAGTGAGGGGGAGGGGGTTCTGGGAGTGGAAGTCCTTCCCTCTCCAAGTGGCCAAGGTTGAAAACTCTGAGCTAAATCAACCCGGGGTTATGGGATTTGTAGTCTGCGCTCCTCTGGAAGGCAGGTAAACCTTGTGTAGCCCCAAGAATGGTTGCAACCCCAGAGCCCATGGGGCTTACCCGCCCTTCAGCTCCTCCTGGTGTCTTATCGGCAGAGGCGCCCGAGCGCTTCGGCGACAGGCCCCGTCTCCTAGGCAACGGCAAAACCAACACAGGGGCGAAACAGCGGAGGTTTTGACCCCATTACCGCCCCCCCCCCTCGCGACCCCTCCTCCTTTACCTCCTTTACCAGAGCCCAAGACGGAGAACCGAAAGGCGGGCAGGGGTCGCAAACGCCCTTCCCCGGCCCGCTCCTCACCTCCCTCGCCTCCTCTGCGGTCTCGCCGGCCCGATCGCCGGTTGCCAGGCGCATCCCGACACCTCAGCCATCTTCCACTTCCGGGGCCCGGCCGGGTGTGCGCCGGAAGTGACGAAGGGACGAACCGCCAACGCGGCGAGGAAAGGGAGGGGGGGTCGAGGAGCGCGCGCAACTCTCGCTCGCTCTCGCTCTTTCTCTCCCAGGGAGTCCGTAGAGCTGCGAAAAGTGCAGAGGGACGCGCCCACGCTGTCCTTGTGAGTCAGCGAAGCCCAAACGCTGAGCTCGGTTCGCACGAGACGCCAAACTCCGTCCTGAGCCAACTTGGCCGCCTCTACTTTGCAATGCTGAGCCAAAGGAGGCAGAGGCTGCAATGCCATAGGCCCGGTCGAATAATATATGTGGGTATGTGCATAATTTTGTTTTATTTATTTTATTTTATTTTATTTTATTTATTCATGTATGTATGTATTTTATTTATTTATTTATTCATGCATGTATGTATGTATTTTATTTATTTTTATTCATGCATGTATGTATGTATTTTATTTATTCATGTATGTATGTATTCATGTATGTATGTATTTTATTTATTTATTCATGTATGTATGTATTTTATTTATTTATGTATGTATGTATGTATTTTATTTATTTATTCCTTATGATGTATGGTATGGTATGGTATGTATGTGTATGTATGTATGTATGTATGTATGTATGTATGATATTTATTTATTCATGTATGTATGTATGTATTTATTTTAATTTATTCATGTAATGTATGTATGTATTTTATTTATTTATTTATTCATGTATGCATGTATTTATTTATGTATGTATGTATTTTATTTATTCATGTATGTATGTATGTATTTTATTTATTCATGTAATGTATGTATTATTTATTTATTCATGTATGTACGTATTTATTCATGTATGTATTTTATTCATGTAATGTATGTATGTATTTTATTTTATTTATTCTGTATGGTATGGTATGTATGGTATGGTATGGTATGGTATGGTATGGTATGGTATGGTATGGTATGGTATGGTATGGTATGTATGTATGTATGTATGTATGTATGTATGTATTTATTTATTCATGTATGTATGTATTTTAATTTATTTATTTATTCATGTATGTATGTATTTATTTTATTTATTTTATTCATGTAATGTATGTATGTATTTTATTTATTTATTTATTCATGTATGTATGTATTTATTCATGTATGTATTTTATTTATTCATGTATGTATGTATGTATTTTTATTTATTCATGTATGTATGTATTTTATTTATTCATGTATGTACGTATTTATTCATTGTATGTATTTATTTATTCATGTATGTATGTATGTATTTTATTATTTATTTCCTGTATGTATGTATGTATGGTATTTATTTATTTATTTATTTATTTATTTATTTATTTATTTATTCATTCATTCATTCATTCATTCATTCATTCATTCATGTATTTATTTTGTCAGTCATGTGTATGTTTATCTAGTCACATGGCCGACTAAAGTGGCTCAGTGGCTAAGACACTGTTCTTGTCGATCAGAAAGATCGGCGGTTCAAATCCCTAGTACAGGTCTCCTGCGTGAGCAGGGGGTTGGACTAGATGACCTCTAATGTCGCCTTCCAACTCTGTTACTGTTAAACCCAATGTAGTGTATGTTGGAGGGGGTGACCTGTTGAGAACTCAATGCAAAGAAATTTCATTCCAAGTAGTGTGCCATTCAAAGTGACCATAAAGTTATTCTAAGCCTAAATGCACAAGGCCTAAGCGGGACGGACGGATCCTGATGCAACTTTTGACCAAGAAAAGTTTATGTCCAGGATCTGTTGAGTGCCAAATAGTCAAGAGCTAGATTGGCTCAAAAGCCCTGGAGCTCTGTCTTCATTTCCTGGATGTTCCACGTGGCTCTACGTGGGTTTACAACAGAGTGTCCTGAGGATCCCAAACCACAGGATGGCAGCAAAGAGACAGAAATTGCTCCTTGTAGTTTCCCCCCCTCTGATGGCCATTGGTATTGTTGCAGGTTTTTTCAATCTGTGTAATAAATCAGTACCCTAAGTAAATTAAATAAATAAACAACAAATAAATAAATAAATAATAAATCTAATTACTAACTAAATACATACATACATACATACAATACAGTGGTGAGTTTCACATTTTTTTACTACCAGTTCTGTGGGTGTGGCTTGGCGTGGTTTTTGGTTTTTGGTGGGCGTGGCAAGGGACGCCCACCAAACCATGGTGGGCGTCCATAAAATCTCCATTACCACCCCACTCCAGGGGAAGGTTACTGCAAAATCCCCATTTCCTCCCGATCAGCTGGGACTTGGGAGGCAGAGAATAGATGGGGGCGGGGCCAGTCAGAAGTTTTACTACCGTTCTCCGAACTACTCAAAATTTCCGCTACCAGTTCTCCGGAACTGGTCAGAACCTGCTGAAACCCACTTCTGATACAATACAAGTAACTCCCCATGACCATATCAGGAACAAACCTTCCTGATATGAGTTCTTCTTCTTCACTTCTTCTTATACCGCTTCAGGTATGGAAGGACTTGATATGGGTGGGAAGCAAAATAAGGAGTTCTGTGATGGCTTCAGTTGGGAATAGAAGCCAGGGATGTACGAATGCTTAGAAGCTGGGTGGAAAGTAAGGGAACTACGTAAGAGTTGAGGAAGCGAACTATGTCATACAGTGGTGAAATCCAATTTTTTTTTACTACCGGTTCTGTGGGGTGGCTTGGTGGCCGTGGTGTGGCTTGGTGGGTGTGGCAGGGGAAGGATACTGCAAAATCCCCATTCCCTCCCCACTCCTGCGGGAAGGATATTGCAAAATCTCCATTCCCACCCCACTTTGGCGCCAGACAGAGGTGGCATTTGCCAGTTCTCCAACTACTAAAAATTTCCGCTACTGGTTCTCTGACCTGCTCAAAATTTCCGCTACCGGTTCTCCAGAACCTGTCAGAACCTGCTGGATTTCACCTCTGATGTCATACAAGTAGTCCTTGACTTTAAAACCGTTCGCGTAGGAACTGTTCAAAGGTACACCGGCACTGAAAAAAGTGACTTATGACCATTTTTTCACAGTTAGGAGCTTTACAGCAATTTTGATCATCTGATCAAAATCATGTGATCAAAATCCAGATGCTTGGCAACCAATTCATATTTATGACGGTTGCAATGTCCCAAAGTCATGTGATCACCTTTTGTGGCCTTCTGACAAGCCGTATTCACTTAATAACTGGGTTATTAACTCACAAACGGCGGTGATTGACTTAACAACCAAGGCAAGAAAGGTAAAATGGGGCAAAACTCACTTAACGAACGCCTCACTTAACAACAGAAATTTTGGGCTCAATTGTAGTCATATGTTGAGGACTACCTAAAAGGGTGGGTGAAGTGATACTACCCTGTTTTCCCAAAAGTAAGACATTATCCCCTGATAATAAGCCCAATCGGGCTTTTGAGCACATGGCAATAAGGCCAAGCACTTATTTCAGGGTTCAAAAAAATATAAGACAGGGTCTTATTTTCTGGGAAACACAGTATTTCTGTAAAGAATGTCAGAAACCACTTCTTAAACTTCTTCCTTTCTTAATCTCATTCCTCCAGTTTTCCTGGAGAGAAAGCTTATTCAACGGAAAGAAAATAGAAAAAGTTGCTTTGCATTTTATTGGCATGCAGTGGAGCTTTGCCTTTGGGAGAAAAAAATATTTCATGTACACATTAAGTCAGATCCTATTTTACAGAATTGTATTTTTGAAGAAGGTGGGGAAGGGGAGAAAAAAAAAAAGAGGGGGCACCCAGATTTGAACTGGGGACCTCTTGATCTGCAGTCAAATGCTCTACCACTGAGCTATACCCCCAGCTGCCTATTTCCTCTTTCCTAATAGGCTTGGTTTATAGCTGTTTATTCGTTCCTCACTTCCCTTCTGGCTTTTTTTCAGTAATGAGTTTATTGCAAGGAAAAGCAACTGCTTTCTTCCTGCTACAGGAATAGAGCTGAGTCAGAGGTAAAACATTTGGCTGCAGATCATTTTTCTAAGTGTTTGATTAGGAAGGGCTGGAACGAAGAAGGAAAATTGTGATGCAATAGAGGAGCTGAAAGCGGGCTTCCCAGGCATTTCCACCATGTAGGCAATAGAATAGAATAGAATAGAATAGAATAGAATAGAATAGAATAGAATAGAATTCTTTATTGGCCAAGTGTGATTGGACACACAAGGAATTTGTCTTTGGTGCATTTGCTCTCAGTGTACATAAAAAGACAAGATACATTCATCAAGAATCATTAGAATAGAATAGGATAGGATAGGATAGGATAGGATAGGATAGGATAGGATAGGATAGGATAGGATAGGATAGGATAGGATAGGATAGGATAGGAAGAATAGAATAGAATAGAATAGAATAGAATAGAATAGAATAGAATAGAATAGAATTCTTTATTGGCCAAGTGTGATTGGACACACAAGGAATTTGTCTTTGGTGCATTTGCTCTCAGTGTACATAAAAAGACAAGATACATTCATCAAGAATCATTAGAATAGAATAGGATAGGATAGGATAGGATAGGATAGGATAGGATAGGATAGGATAGGATAGGATAGAACAATAGGATAGGGATAGGATAGGATAGGATAGGATAGAATAGAATAGAATAGAATAGAATAGAATAGAATAGAATAGAATAGAATAGAATAGATAGAACAGAACAGAACAGAACAGAATAGAATAGAATAGAATTCTTTATTGGCCAAGTGTGATTGGACACACAAGGAATTTGTCCTTGGTGCATATGCTCTCGTCATTATCATTAATGCTGGCCAATGTTAAGACAAGTTAAAGGAAGATTTTTTTTATTTTTACTTTTATTTATTTTTTATATGCCGCCCTTCTCCGGAGAATCAGGGAGGCTTACAATGCGTTAAGCAATAGCCTTCATGCTTTTGTATATTTTATACAAAGTCAGTTTATTGCCCCCACAAACCGGGTCCTCATTTTGCCCACCTTAGAAAGGATGGAAGGCTGAGTCGACCTTGAGCCTGGTGAGATTCGAACTGGCAGTA